GCTTGATTCACATAAGCTCAAATACCTTGTCTAATCACATGCTTACACTTTTAAACATCACCATGAAATCATATCATATCTTTAGGTAATCTCATACTTAACCAAAGAGTTATAAGACATTAAGCCGTCGACTCACCTTAGATGAGGTTTACGAAGTTCTACCCTCTTCGGCGATACCTCCGACCAGTTCTCAACTTCGTGAGAATGCTAGGAACACCTTAGAGAAGTCCCTAATATGGTTTTATCGTCCCAAAGTCAATATCAATAACCTGAAAAAGGTTATTTTCTGGCGAACTGGTAACCTTTGACTTCTAAGTATGTTCGTGGACTTATAACCTTCATTTAACCCCTCATTCAAGTAGTGGTAAAATCCTAGGGGTTCTTCATATGGTTAATTAAACCATATGAAATTCATGAATGAAGAGAAAAGGTTAATGAGATAATGACCTTGATTTAATTTACTAGATTGTTCTCTTCTTTTCCTACTCTTTCTTCTTCCTTGGACCTCCTCCAAGCTTGAGCTCCTTTTTAGCCATGGAGATGGATGTTGCAGATCATTTTTTGGGATAGTTTGGTCAAAAATGATAAGGGGTGAGGGGTGAGGAGACCTCTTTTGTCTCTCTTACCCAATGAAAATGTGAGGGATGCCTTCCATGCCCCTTTGATACCATTCATCTCAATCAAACATCTCCCTCACCCATTCCTATCACTCCGGACGACCCCTTGGATGTCTTTGCCTACCATGGCTCCCACTCGCGTGGGAGGTCATCCCTTCATATCTTGGTGTACACTTGATCTTAAAAGTTGTATTTCCCGGACTATTTTATTTAAATTTCACTTTATCGGGCCAATAGAAATATACATCATTCTCCCAATCATTATAGCTTCTAGAATGAATATGTATTCCCAACTTTAATTTAGTGATCCTCGTAATTCATTATGGTCTATTTTCGGCAATTTACCAAATCTAGTAAATGAACCCTGCTTGATCCACCAGCCAGCCTTATGTCATTGCTATGGACCATCGATCACACATCTATACCATCATACATGTATTATCTATACCAAGATGAATATAATATATGGTCTCATGAATATCGGGTGATCCCCGCTTCCGGCGTTGGCCCCACATGCTTTTCCTGTTCACGTGAAGATAATAATAGAAATTTTCATCCACATAAATTCATTAACCATTTCTCAAGGTTCAATACATAATTTGGTCAAAAAAATATACCTGAGAACGGTGTTTCACAAATATTCACCCAACCAAATTATCAAATATAATCAGCAATATTGCAAAATTTAAACCAAATAACTAGCAGAAATAAAGCACAAGGAACACACACGATTTTTTACGTGGGAAACCCTTCAACGTGAAGGATAAAAAACCCCAAGACCTTTCGAGGAGTCCGCCCTTAATTCTCTTATTGATAAATGAGGATAAGAGAACCCCAAATCAGTCTACAAAGGATTCACAATCCATCAACAATCACCAAGAATAAGAGATCAAAATAGCATAATAAGGTGTAGAAATCATATATCTAAAACTGCATGTCCCTTTGAGCAGAGTTTCTGACCAAATCAGAGCTCAACAAAACAATCCGACCGTTTAAAATGAAGCCATTGAATTCAAAAATAAGCAGTTTAAATTTCAGTAAAATCCAACCTTGGGAACACATCTGATCGCAGAGATGATTGAAGTTGTGCACTGCAGTCTGAAAATCAGAAATCATTTAAGTTTTTCAGTCTTGTGTGTGTGTGGATCAGTTTGCCATTGTAACACCCCCAAATTGATACCCAAGATATATGCTAATTATATCTTGAAATCATTTAAGTTTTTCAGTCTTGTGTGTGTGTGGATCAGTTTGCCATTGTAACACCCCCAAATTATGAAGTCGTTTTTCATAGTTCTTATCAAAATAATTTGATCTCATCCTCAAATTCTTTCTCAAAATATCTCAATCATATACATATTTCATAATTATATGCATAGCATATCAAGTTCAAAGTCATAGTTCGGTTTCCTCCCAAAACAAATTACAAAATAATATTTAATCTCATGTTCAAAATAATCCAATAAGGATGGTTATGACTCCAGGATATAGGTGTAAATATTCACATCGTATTATACATTAAGAAATATAAAATTTGTCTCAAAATATACATTTTCCAAGTCAAAATTACAATTTCTCACATATTCACAATTTCGGCTATTGTAGCTAAAATAATTAATTACTCAAAATCACATGTTCCAAAATTTCCGGAAAATCATATCATACTCAAATGAGTCCATCATATCCGAATCACACGTAAAATTTCATAAAGAATCTCAAATCATAGCTCAACCTTAATTAATACTCCCTTCGTCCCATTTTACCTTGTCTTACTTTCCTTTTTGGGTTGTCCCAAAATTAGTGTCATTTTCCCTTTTTTGGAAAGAAATATGTGGTTCACAACATCTCACATTACTATAATCAAATCTCAACCACAAATTTTACCTTTTCAACCACTTTATTAAAAATTGTGCCAAAACAAAAGGAGACACATAAAGTGAGACGGAGGTAGTACATAATAGGGGCAAAATAGTAGTTTTGGTTGCAATAGTACTTATCTCGAGGCTAAAAACAAATCCTAAAAGTCAAACCTATCGTGAGAGGTCACTCACATGTACCTAGGAAGGTTTATGGCTTTGGGATCACCATTTAGGAGAAAGAATTCAAAGAAAACGAAGAACAATATGAATTAGGCAACAAACGCACTTACCGAAAGATTTGGTCGTTTGATCACATTCGTGACCTTAAAAATTGTGTTGTAAGTGTTAGGATTGAAGAGATGGAAGAGATTGAGTTTGAAGAGGCGGTCCTATAGTTTTTGGAATGAGGAGAATCGGATTAAGAATGTAATTATAGTGAATTTCTGAAGATTGGGTCGAACTGAGCTTAAATTAGGGAAGCACACCGTGTGTGCCTTCCGCGCACGCCGTGCGTGGCTGGCAGTAGCAATTCCGTTTGATTTTCTTGCAAAGCAAGTCACGTGTAGCCCCATGCAGGCAGCGGGGGACCCCCAGACATTCCAAACCTCAATTTAGCTCTGTTTCTTCTCCATTTGGACCTCACATTGGTTCCAAACGCTAAACCAAACATAATAAACTATCTAGAAACTGTTTAAACAATATGAAACCAAATTTTAATTATTTTCCAAATACTCTCAAATTTTTGAGGTGTTACAGTCATATCCTTCCAAACCTGATGTTTTGCTGCAAAAGGTCCTCCAAAAACTTCTCTTGAAACCCAAAGCTCAATATCTAATGGATCCAAAAAAACAGGACATAACTATCAATCATAAAGACCCAAACATGGGCTTGACCCATTACAACAAAAATAAGAAATAGGAAATACCAACATAATATTAACTTTCAAAAAATAAAAGATTTCTTAAAATTAACATAGCAAGTGGTGGTGCTTTACCGTTGGGTTTCAATGCTGTAGCTTTACGGTTTGATTTTCATTAATTTAATATATTTGGTAATTATCATTTTAGTTCAATCTTGTTTCCCTTCTATTAAGTAGCTTGTATTTGTTAATTTGATTGTCCAATAAATACAATTTGAACATGATTTTAATCACTAAAAGTTACTAAGTCACATTTTTGTCAATGACTTTTTAAATAGTATTACTTTAGGAAACCCCTCTTTTTATTCTACAATATTAAATTAATTTTAATAATAATTAATAATTATTTTTATTTAAAAAAAATAGATTTAGTTTTCAAGAAAACCAAGTGATTTTTATATTCATTTGGTTATAATAGTGTATTGATTAATTTCACATAATATTTGATTTATACCTTGAGAGATAAGTCGCACTAATGGTCTAAACGGTCATAAGATACTCATACGTTAAAAAGAAACATATATCTACACCATAACTGTGAATGTTGTTTATAAGCAATGTTTCCAAAATCTAACAATATGATGTTTGTTGTGTGGTGTTACATTACAGTGTCACTTTTATTATATTCTTTTTTTTAATACCCCGGAAGGCCAACTACCAAAATCAGTGGGGTAAATGCCGGAGGACATTTACCATGTTTATTAAGGAAAAGAGAAGATACACAATGAGGGGGGGACTAGGCCAAAACCCCTCTGAAGGAATACATCCAAATATAAAATGCTGGAAGAAAAAATTAAACGACTTTTGGGGGGCAAGACTGACCCAAAAGATACAAATAAAACAATCAATAAGCAAATCTAATGGAAGGAAGCTCGAAAAGGTCCATAAAATATGCATTTTTAGCACGGGCCGGCAGATCTTGTGGCTGCGTAAAAATTCGAAAATGGGCCGGTTTATGATCCGCGATATAATGTGCGGCCCAATTCCCCTCTCGCCGAACACTCGAAAAGGAAACCCCTTTCCTTTCAGACCACAACAATGATTCCTTTAATGGAAACCTCTTTAATTACATTCCTATCCATAACGAACAAACATTTAAATGAAGTAAAGCGATGGATTGTTTACATATTGTATAAAATATATTCAAACAATCTCAACATACATTCGAGGCTATGCTAATTTAAACAGGCCTAACCAAATTAGATAATTTCAATTCGAGTAAAAACATTGTGGTGCCAATGTGCCATTTCCCAAGATCTCTTTAAGGTTTCCTAAGACAATTAGAGCCACTTAGTAATCTCATTTTCAGTTTGTTAGTTTTATTAGACATTTTTTTTATCAATCACGAAACATTTAATTATGCACGCTAAATTACTTAATAATCAAAACAACTAAGTTTGAAATTACTTTTATCGTTGAATTATGTGAAATTAATATAAAAACAATTTTGTGATTCACACTCCATATAACTATTTATTGATTTTTTATTAAAATATATTTTAAATATAATTTTTTCGTAATTCAACCAATTTTGATAACTTCACCAATTTTAACATATTAAATTACTCCAACCAATTGTAGTCTTATGGGCTTTTAATTGGTAGAATCCTTTAATTCTATCTCTTCACTCCACCATCTTTTTTCTTTCTATTATCCTCAGCAATGGCGCTAGCATTAGCCATCCCAGTACTCCCATCACTCTCCATCATCAGCAATACCCTCCATTGTTCGAACCTCAGAAGCTCTCTATCTTTTCCCATTATCACTTCTCATCCAAAGGTCAAACAATTCCATCATGGTTCCTCTCATTTTTTTTTTGGCAAACACAGCCACTACATTCATTTCTATTTAATCATTTTCCTTGAGCTCCATTTTGTAGTGATTATTGATATTTTGTACAGGTCGGGAGTTTGAGCATAACGTGCGTGCGTGTGGGAGGAGTAGAAATACCCAACAACAAGAGAGTGGAATTCTCGCTGCGGTACATCCATGGGATTGGGCGAAGCATTTCAAAGCAGATTCTCTGTGACATTGGCATGGAGAACAAGGTGACCAAGGAATTATCCGAAGAAGAACTCACATCTCTCCGTGATCAAGTCTCCAAGTACATGATTGAAGGCGACCTAGTAAATTCCCAATCCCATCCTTTTCATTTGGGTTATTTTGATACCTGAATTAATGTCTCGTCTTGCATTGGCATTTGATATTTCAGTGCATATGCTATTACTATTAGGGTTAATGCTAATTACGGAGTACAAATGAACTAAGCAAAAAGAAATAGGAAATGCCAGAGCGCAATGTTCCATTACAGATCAGTACAACAACCACACAAACAACATCCAAGCCTTTATCCCAAAATGGTTCGGGGTCGGGTAACATGAATCGACATATGAAATCGGATTTAAAAAACATAAAAAGATAAGCTAAAAACAAAATGAAGATAAAGATAAAGATAAAAAAAGATAAAGAAATTACTAATCCTTCCACATTAGTAAATCCGTGTAAAATTAGTTTTTTCTTTCGCAGATTGTTAAAGTAATTTATTGAAAGTAGAGGTGTTTTGTTAAACTGGTACCCTTTTAGAGTTTGTATTGATGTCATTAGACTAGCAGTGGCCATGAGATCCTCGGACTCATAGGATCTACAGCAGAAACACTAGAGTCGGGTCTTTTTCTACTTCCTTTGTAGTGGACTCACAAAGTATATAATGATCCTTTAAAAAGGGGCAGCCCGGTGCATATTGGCGTCCCTGCAAGGCGAGCGTTTAATGAACTGAGGGGTCACAAGCTCAGGTCTTTTGCAGACTCTTTATTTTTGTTTACTAGTCAAATATGCAGGGATGGAAAATGGGCTTGATAATACATGCATTGGATTTATTTATTAATTAATCACATTATGTTAATTCGGTGGATCCTCAAATATGAATTCAACATAAAGAAGAGAAAAGATAATAAGAATCAGAAGAGAAGTTTGGCTGAAGTTTTCTATCTGCCTTCATTCATCTTAAACGATGCATATATAGTAAATACAAATGAGGGAAATTAACTGCTACTTTAGTGGCACCACCAAGCTACTAAAACAAATAACTACTACTGGCTGTTAACTGCTAGCTACATGTGCAGGAAATAACAATACTAAATAACAATATCAATATTAATAAATATAGCAGTAGTCCTAACCCAAATGGGATTCCATCCACGCAGTTAACGCATGCACATAAACATGAAACATTTCGGGTTGCGTATTCCATGGCGAACTGTTCATCATGTGCACTTGTATGTTCATCCGACCTTGTCCCCAAGGTTAAGATCAGGGAATTGGTGATGTAGGAGCTCTCTGTCTTCTGCACGGATGCCATGCCACTGGATCAACACTTGGTCAAAGGGAGCACTACCACGCATGATGGTGCAAGAAGCCAAGATTTTAGCTGGACTCAGAGGTGGACTGCTGTCGTTACAAACGTCAGGTAGAGTGGGAGAAACGTGACTGTGGTCAATCTGTTTGCAAAGAAGGGATTCATGAAATACCGGATGGATTTTAGCTTTAGGTGGCAATTTTAAGTGGTAGGCAACCTGTCCAATGCGAGCAATAACACGAAAGGGCCCATAAAATAAAGCACTCAGCTTTTGGGATGCCCAACGATAGAGAGAATATTGTCGATATGGCTGGAGACGGAAATAAACCATGTCACCCACATCAAAAGAAACCTTTCGACGCCCCTGGTCAGCATACTCTTTCATGCGTTGAATTGATGCCGCAAGCGTGGTCTTTAGTTGTGCAAGAATCTGATCACGCCCCATGAGGCACTGGTCCGCCTCGTTCACAAGAGCATGGTTTAAAAAGGCGCTTAAGAGGCGGGTTTTGAGGCGCGCCTCAGGGTGAGGCGTACAGATTGGGTATCAAGGCTTAGTTTTTTTCCGCATGTTAAGAGGCTTACGCAGTTACACCTCAAAAGTCGAGGAGTACGCCATGAGGCGTGCCCTGAGGCATTTTTTGAGGCATTTTTCCTTTGTTTCTTTATTTTTAATGTGGAGTGACTTAAAAAAGGCCCAATACATTTCATTTAATAAAAGACTTAGAGTACTTTTTAAATAGAAGTCCATTAATTAAACATGTGGCCACACTAAAATCTAACGAGTCTTATTTCATTTAAACGCTAACAAGACTTTTATTCATTTAAATCATAAGTCCTCAACATATACTTTCTATTCATCTTTCAGTTTGTGTGTGGTGTTTCTGTGTGTGATATGTCTGTTTGTGTGTGATGTTTTTGTTTTGTCTTTGAATTCTAATGACTTACTGGTATTAGTTCATACTACGTATGTGTTTGTGTTTCACACTTTGTGGACTTTATTATTATGGATATATCCTTAACTTCTTTAGTTGTTTGTTACTAGTTTAACTATTTTAAGTTTTACATGTCTATATATTTTGAGGCTTATGCCTCAATATGCCTCAAGGCTTTCGCCACGCCTCTTAGGAACAAACCGCCTTGTTACCCGAACCCGTCCTTTTAAACCTTGCACAAGAGTGAACCCGGGAGAACAACGTTGTGTGGTTGGCGGTAGGTGTCTGTACAGAGCTTGAAAAGGGGTCACGCCAGTAGATATGTGATATGTGGTGTTATACCAGAATTCTGCCCACGGAAGAAATAGGACCCACTGGGCCGCGGTTGATCATTGAAATATTTCTGGTTGCGTCTTCCCTGGCAAACACTTCTTCTAACCTCATCGTGTGCACTTGTATGTTCATCATAATTTCTTTTAGAGTTGTAGGCCTGTTGTTTTCACATCAAATTTAGTTGTTGTGTAGTTTTGATTATGTAGATTGCAGCATGTAATTCCTTGTTTTAGCATGTAACGTTGCATGCCTGCATGAGTTATAGTTATAGTAATATTAGAATTGGCAAGTTGCCATGATAGTAGTGGTTTCTAAATGCTTGTTTAGAGACTAGTTAGTGACCATATGAAGTCCTGTATTAAAATGTGAAAGAACTTAGAAAATTTCCCAAAGTCAGCAAAGGACTTAGAGGAGAACTCAACATCATCTCCTATTAATACTTTTATTGCTTTTATGTATCATCTTTCATTTGCAATTGGATTGTACCTATGCGTTCTTTCTCAAAACACTATGTCAAGTTTTGTATATGACAATATTCCCAATCTCCCATCTTATCTGTTCTCTCTAGTGTCTAATAGACATTAGCAATTGTCATTAGTTATTCTAGTATGAAGGAGAAAACATAAGTCAATTGAGAAGCAGAAGAAATCAGCTGGCTTGTTAAATTGGTTCACTGTCCCAAGTTCTGACTCTGAGCGTGAAGATGACATGTAATGCAGTATGTTTTTTAAATCGTTTTTTAGTTTTCCTGTGTACTTGCAAGTTGAAATAACTAGTTAAGTAGTTTATGATTAAGGGATGTGTCTATGATGCCCCATACGTTTCTCTGTGTCTGGCACTCTGGCACCCATACTCCACCTCTCTAAGGAACGTTTGGTATCAATCTCATATTACCATGATAATGTAAGTGAGGTAATGTCATATTATCTTGTTTGATTTGAGTTTTAAGTTATTCAGATGAAGATAATATGATACCTTGTCTCGTTCATGTTTCCATATTATCATGGTAATCTGAGATTACCACCATGTAGGAAATAGGTAATGTACCTTGGGTTTTTTAGGTGGTGTGTGAAATCAACACGTCCCCAGAATTGAACCAACCACACTTCCACTACATTTTATTCCAAGGTTTGGTGACATTTATTTTTGCCGAGTAAGCAATGCTATGGTACTCAAGAGTTTGAATTACGGATGAGTTCTTCTGCATATGCATCTTCCCTCTGCTGTCCAAACTCTAAACCCAAACCTCCCCTCTGCAGACTCTTCATGTAGAGGGATTTCTATGTGTCTCCTATGCTTAATTGTTTATATGCCTAAGATCATCTTGGAAATGTCCACATCTATCCTTAAAATTAGGTATCATCTTTGAAACATATTAATATCCATTTTCTATTATCACTACCAAACAAATCAGGTGAACTTACTTACATTCCTTGAATCTAACATTACTGAAGGTAATCACTTTACTTAATGGAATTTTACATCCTTAGACCACCCCACATTTCACAATTACTTCATAAATAGTAAAAAGGGTATTAGCCAAGGGAGGAATCGTCAGAATCAAGCATACAATTTGGGATTATGCTGTGGTTCCGATCAGTCACCCCATGATCAAACTCATTCTCATCAGCATATTTCTACTCGCTAGTATGTAGTGTGTTTTGATCCTTCGCAAAAGATATGCCAATGTCGTTTGTATACTAGTGTAAGTGTGTGGATACTGGATAAAAAATACGTGAGGATGAACTGACTAGGTTATCTTTTGACCTGCACTTGAGATGGTCTCCTCACTATGTGATATAGCATCATATCACATGGAAATGAAGCTTGATGCTGGAGTGGAAGATATAGTAGGAAACCTGGAGTTGGGTTGTGTTAAGACTTAAGAGCACACGTACACGATCTCGTCCAAGGTCGAGAATTAGACAACGGAAGCAAATTCAGGTAAAGAGAGGAATGAATTTTTTGGATCTATGATGAGCAGAGAGAAAGCGAAAAAAGAAGACTTTATTGGAATTAATTCCGTACCTGACCTTGTCAAGACACAATAATTAATTCTGCCAAAAAACCCTCACATCAACTGAGGACCCCTATATATATAGGTCATATAAGAGTCCTAAAAGAGAATAAAGGAAACTTACTAAAACTGAATTAAGAAACTTGCTAAAACTGAATTAGGAAACTTGCTAAAATTGAATTAAAAGCAGTAAAGTAAATAAAGAAACTTGCTCCCAAACTCAGCCACTTTTGGTGGCTTCATTGGGCTGAATTCCTTCGGGCCACCCTGCGCCTTTGATATTTTTGACCCCAAAATTTGTCCATAACAGTTTGTTTTAACTAGTATCGACCTTGTTTCTGCAAATGATGTAAACATAATTAATGTTATATCATTTATTCTGGAACCTTTTGGCCTCACCCCATTGACGTGATTGTGCATATATTTTGTTACTTTCATCCATAATCCATTTGAATGTTTGTGTCAACAATTTGATATGCAAGCTGCCTTGGCCATTCTACAACTATAATACTATATATGCCTTGCCTAAGCCATTTGTGAGCAGCATTTTGTCACAGCTTTATTTTCAAGATAATATTCGGTATTTTGACAGTAATTTTAGTAACTAGTAACCACGTGGCCATATTTATATCAACCAGTTATGCTTTAGCAATGTTATAGGAATAACCCCTACTAGAGCATCCACAATGGTAGAGGTTGAGTTTCATTGTGGGGCTGTATTCAAGTTTAAAATTCTGAAGTGAGTTGTCACCCAGTTCATGGAGAAAGATAGAATGAAAGATAATAATAATAGTACATGCTGATAAGGTTTGTGTAATTATTAGTGGGATCACTTTAAATTATGAATGTACACAAACTCAGTATGAATGCTAAGTTTGTTCATTAGTGATGTGTGGAGGCAGGGTTCACTATGAACTCTGCAATAGACATCCGTGTTGTGGTTGTGGATGCTCTTGTCAATGCGCTGTCAAATATATCATTTTGTTTTTGTTTTTGCTAAAAAAAAAACTCTCAATTAGTGTATTAATATCATCAGCAATAAAAGAAATTGCATTTTTACTACTTTCTCTTGATGGGATATAATTCTTGATGGTGGTTTTTGGGGTGCAATGTTTTAGAGGAGATTCAACGCTCTTGCAATTAGGAGGTTGAAGGACATTCAATGCTACAGAGGGATACGACATATTAAAGGCTTGCCATGTAGAGGACAACGCACAAAGAACAATTGTCGTACTCTGAAGGGGAAGAGGGTGGCCATTGCAGGGAAGAAGAAAGCACCTCGCTAATTTAATTAAGATGTATAAGCATGGTCAGTGGCTGAACAGCAGTCTCTACATATGTCATTGTTGGTTGGTAACTTGGTATAATAAGTACAACCCACCCCAATTTGTGCTATAGCTTTAAGTATAACCCACCCGAATTTGTGCTATAGCTTTACCATAAGTATAACCCACCCCAAGAGCTACATATGTCACTGTTGTTTGGCAACTTAGTTTAAGTATAACCCACCCCAATTTGGTGTATGAACATCTTTTTCGCCAAAATATCGTCTTGTTTTGTGCTGTAGTGCAGCTCTTGTGGAAATCTGCAATAGGGGGGATGCATGATGCATCACCTTTGTCATTTAAATGGGGTCATGGTTTTATATCCATATCTCTTTGTTGGATCATTTTCCTCGCACAGGTTTCATTTGAAAGAGAAAAAGAAAATGATACTAAAGTGCAACTGCGTAATACTGTACAAACAGCAAACCCCGATCTTGTTTTGGGAGAGTAAAGCAGTAAAGCAGTTTTCATAGCCCTACTCCAACTCTCCCAGCATAGCCCAAAGGACGAATCATTTTATTTTAGGGATTTCCAAGTTCCAACATAAGATGGTAGTACCGTCAACCGTGTGCGTCACACTACTCTTACTGTGTAGCTAGACAACAAAAAAGGAGACCATTTTATTTGTTTCTAATGATCAACAAAAAAGGAGACCATTTTTACAGCACCACTGCTCCAACCGATGCTCCTTGCACTGGTGCCACCACTTCTAGCTGCTGCTTGAACCCCTTGCCCCGTCCTTGCACAACCTACGACCCCTATTTAGGGAAGGACCGGGATTGGGCCTGGCCTAAACAATACTGGGTTGGGCCAGGCTCCGGGACAGGACTGGGCAATAAATTTAAAAAATAGCGCAATTGGGCTCGGAACCGGCCCGGGCCCGGTCTGGCCGGAACCGGCTCCGAACTGGGCCTATACATTAGTGGGCCAGGTTGGGCCTAAACAGTTCAGGCCCGGGCCGATCCGTCCCAGTCCATCCCTACCCCCATTAACCTGCCTACCACTTATCCTACCTTACCCACGCCCTTGGCAGTGCCATGCTATCCAGCAATGTTCTGGAAACTGCACTAGTCCCTCCCCGCTTTTTCTTCCTTTGATCAGCACTGCCGCACTACCACCATTACTCGAAAACCTGCTCCCATCTCCGCCACTAGCCTCCAACCCTACTTTGATACAAGCCCAAGTGAAACCCTAACACCATCCATAACTCTTCCATGTAACTCTAGCTATTGTCGCCCCATCCTAGTCCTGGACTCGGTTCGGGCCACCCGGCCCGGTGCTGCGGGCCCCAAACCGGTCTAAGGCCGGTTAGCTAGGAAAAGTGGGGCGGGCTCGGGTCAGTGAAAAGGAGGTCCGGCCCAGTTCGGGCCAAATTGAATGTTTTTTTTTCTTCATTTTTTTGGGTTCCACCCGGGTTGGACTTGATGTTTAGGAGGGGTTTGGGGGTGGGGGTCAGGGATAATTAGGAAAGCAAAAAAAAAACCAAACCTGAGGCCCTGCCCGACCCGGACCGGACCCGGTAGCTACCCGGGCCGGTCACGGGCCCAACTATTCAAAACCGGCGGCTCGCCCGGTCCAAGGCCCGGCCCGAATCTAGCCCTACCCCATCCTCACGCCAGCTGTTGTTCTATTGTTGTTGTCCCCAATCTATCACCCCGGCTATCACTTATTAGAAACCAAAGCTGCTACTAGACACTGCCGTCTAGATCGAGAATTGGCTACACAAAGACAACAAAGATTATAAAAATGACATGTATATTACTCATAGAGTTTTCCCGGATAAAAATATGACTACTTGTGTTTTTTGGAAAAAAATATAACTAGTCGTTGTGTACGAGTAACTGGATAAGAGTCGTCATAGTGTATTTCAGAGTATTTTCGGAGTTACAAGTCACCAGTAGATGATGAGTCACTGAATATCCCACTTTTTTGAAAATTTTAAAATAAGCCATATTTTTGTCTTTTAAATTTAATTTAGTAATATTCATAAAAAAAGGCCTAAGCGAGAAGTTTTCCTAGATAAAGTTTGGTTTTATATTAAGGGCATTTGAGACTATTCACTCTTGATATGGTAAAGTTATTTTCAGTTTTAAGCCTACTGATTATGTCCACAAGAATCCCAAAAGTGTTATTGGTGTTATTTTTTGAAATTGTTTTCAATTTTTGAAATAATTAATTATGTATAAAGCTTAAACTTACTTATTTTAGAAGCACTTTATAGATCTATTAAATATTTCCTGACATGACAATGTTATTGCAAAAAGATACGGAATATCAAGGATTATAAGTGAAGCATCAAGATGGGTTTGATGGGGTATGCTCAACCCATATTAATTTCTCTTGAAGAAGAACCATTCAGTAATCAAAATAAATAAATGAGACTCTCTTTGTGATGAGAAATGGACAGTATAGTTCATTTTGAAGAGAAATGTGTTGACTTAACCTTAAAAAATATTAAGGCACAAAAACATTTCTACTCAGTTTCACGGTCTTACGAATGTCAAGTCAATCTATTTGTGAGACATATCACTATTTAATAAAAGTAGAGCCCTTTTGCGTGTATCATTTTACACCATATAAAGATGCTAGCTTTGTCTTTGAAAAGTGATTGCAATATTATGACTTATAGGAGCGAGCCTCTTAGGCAGGTGTTAATAAATCAGAGTAGAGTAATGAGACGTGATGAAATTCTTTGCTTTACAATTCTAATCACCAAACGGTAAACAAAAAGCACATTGTCACAAAAAGTAAAAAATGGATTAATAATGAAAGGTTAAATTGTGAAAATAAAACGTTAGTGGAATACTTACTCTGAAAAACATCATACTCCGTATTACATAAAATAAATCGAGTATTTGATAGGATCATATATCAATGGGAAAACTGTCAAATAGGTCCTCGAACTTTCATAAAAAAATCAATTAAGTCCTTCTATAGGAGACTTTGTCCGGTTGTCGCGATTTGGGGCGGTTCCCGGTGGAATTTTTTGATGAAATTATTTGAGCATCTTATTCATCAAGTCTAGTTTACTCATACCAAATTTTAGCTAAAAATTTAATCGGGAGAGCATTCAAATTAATTCGAGAACGCAAAAATGCGCAGTTATCTTCAAGAATTAATTTGAATGTGTTCCCGATTGTATTTTTAGTTGAAATTTGGTATGACTAAACTAGACTTGGTGAATAAGATGCTCAAAAAAATTCATCAAAAAATTCCACCGGGAACTTCCCCAAATCGCGATGGCCGGACAAAACCTCCTATAGAAGGACTTAATTGACCTTTTTATGAAAGTTCGAGGACCTATTTGATAGTTCTCCCTATATCAATATATGTTCTTCGGTTTCAAATGCTTTATACTCCGATCCGTATCTCATTAGAAAGATTGTTTTGAACTCTAAAACTTGTTTCCATACTTCGTTTGTTATTTAGAATAATCCAAAAAATAAATTGTACCTTACTAAAATATTGATTCTTTTTCCCTCCAATAAGTGACATACACCATGAGCTAGAGGCCAATCTAAACCCCGTCCCGCTCCAAATTTTTTAAGGCAAAAAACTTCGTGTACTTTTTTTCCAAAAACAATTTTTGTACCGGCTCAATCTGATCCAGTGCTCTGATTCTGCCCTTGAAAATGTGCACATGCCTTTTAGATTGAACATAAGAACTCATTTGTGTCCCCGCATAATATCGTTTTATGGGTTCATGGTATACTTATTTAAAAATATAATAAACCACAATTGTATTGATCACAATTAAAATTAAAACAACAAACACATTATATGAGACATATGATATGCGGAGTATTTAATTATAAATTTTTTAAGAGTGCTTCAATATATCGTCGACCGATGAGATTGAGTAGCTTTCCCTTTAATTTCAAGAAGTATTCAATGTGCACCATTTAGAATTATTTGCATGGCAACTATAACCAAACATTTCTTCCACTATAAAAATCAATGAGAAAGCAAGTCAACAAAATAATCCAGCCCACTAATATAAAGCTTGAAGACTAATTCAATCAGCTAATTGTGAAACAAAGAAACTATATTTTTAATGTTGACGACAAATCCATATTCTGCATAGTGTTAAATTAATGATAAGTTGATAATATGAATATATGTTACTAACTTTATTTTAATACAAGTAATATCATTGGCACGTTCGTTTGCTTGCTAACTGGTCATTGGGAGGATTGAGTTGTTGGATAGACAAAGATTAATGAATCTTGATGCATGTGAGGTCTGGCTTGTCGGATTGGTTAGCCACATGTAAATGCGAATTAATTCCTTTTTTTTATAGTTAGCACCGGACTATCCAACTTCATTAAACTAATCATAAACTAATTATGAGCTCTTCAAAAGTTGTAAGAATATATGTGAGTTACTATTAATTGATGACAAAAATTAATTGATTTATTTTTTGTCATACAAAAATTAATTGATTTAAAGTACAACAAATAGTTAACTCGTTGTTACTTTTTAAACGATTTGAGTGTAGTTGGAGTTTTTACTTAGATTGGTTTCCGCCCCGATCACACCTAAGTTAAATAGACTACATCAGATCAGAATTTGACAGTTGTAATATATACATAGATTAAACATCACCGCATTAAGTATATGTTTGGTAGGCATAAGATCCTAACTTCTAGCTTTTGTACTATTTAAAAGTCTCTAAAAATTTCTAATTGAATGTTTGACATGACAATTTTGAAGAGCTTTTTAGAAAATAAAAGAAATTATTTGAGATGCTATAGTAAATACGTAGCATATGAGAAAAATCAGTAGCTTTAAGCATTAATCAGTCTCAACAACTTGTATGTCAAATAGAACTAAATATCAAACAATCAGTTTTGTATCAAACAATTACCACTTTTTTATTTTAAGATCTTTTAAGTCGCTAAAAGCTAACCGTTACTAAAATGTTCATAAAAATATCTTTTCAACTAGTTATATCAAACATATCATAAACCATACAATGATACAAGATTAGATCAGACATAAACAGATCAGGCGAGATTAGACCCTACAAATTCAATTTAATTAAAACATCCTCGCAATAAAAAAATGCCAATCCACGATTTCGACTATCAAAAGATCCATGCTCAATATGGGTTTGTCGGGTTCAGGGCTTCAGGCCGAAATCAGGAGCTAAACCTGCATGATATAATTTGGGCCGATGAAACTTGGGTTTTTAAATATATTGTTCAAAGCCCAATAAAAAAGAAACAGCAGGCTTGTCGACCAAACTCATGAGCTGTAACCTTTCCTGGTTAAATGACCTTTGCATACACACAAGGCCTTCTAATGTCAATAAATAGTCAATCCTCCAATTCCATATTCATTTTTTTGAAAATCAAATAACCATTTTATTGATAATCAGATCTTAACAAGAAACATAACAACTAAAAGCCGAAGCATTACACTCATAGCGTTCAATACTACACTAGGGTGAGACAAAGAACAAAAACGCCATATAAAAGCACTCATGTTCGCTAACCCTGCAACAATGTAGACTCGTACCGCAGTGTGTCTGCTCATGCTACTCCAAATGGGTTCGGCTTGACCAGCCACCGAAAATGAATTATTGAACTTGTCGGTTTTTCCATCCACCGGTAAGGAGCCAAGTGTAGAAATTGTTCCGGTTTGACCAGCCACCGGAAAGAAAGCAATCCATCCAATGTCATCTTCCTGGATCGGCGGTGGTTCAGGAGGGGGGCGATCGACATCTATATCGATGCAAAAGAAATCCTGATTCATGATTGATAAAGAAGCCAATACAAACCTCTTATTAGCACACAAGAACACCCGACCGATGATGGCGGGGAATATAGATCTTGCGAGCGACACTTCGCCACCGAAAATAATATCTCTAGACAACGCTAGGAAATAAACGTATAGATAGAACCGAAAATACTTATTAAACAAAACTTTTTCCATGATTGAAGTCGAAAGAAGAGAAGAAAAGAAAGAAGGGAAAGGAGGAGGGGGCTAGGGTTTCCCGCTCTCCAATTCCATATTCATATATCCCAACTTACACAAAGGTAATACAGTTTCTCTTCTCTAACATTATATTTGGCATATAAGTATTTTATCCATGTATAAAAACAATTCGTCAGTTGTATTAGTTACGTACGTAGTATATAGTTTAGAGTTCACATCTAAAGTTCGCTAGTGTGATAATACACGTTACGGAATATAGAGTAATACATTATACATGAGACTCATAATCATATTAACAAACAAAAAATAATAAAACTTTCCCATGTATGAGCGAACAAGCCATATTTTGACAACCAATTCTGACAAAGTGTTTAGTTATGAGGAAGGTATTGAAGTCTCTCATCAATAAAATATGAAGTAATAAAATGATGCTTGGTATGTTATACTATCGTATAAGATTTTAGATTACTCCTATCAAATTATCCTTTGAGGAATCCAGATTCTTAACATAATGCTTCAATTGAAGGAACAATGTTACCTTTTATTTATATTTAGAGAATTTCCTTTGGCTTATAATTTGCCCATTATATTTTTCTTTATTTTAGTGGCGGCTTAAGTTTCATGGTATTTTCATTTAGGGAAAGTTCCCGAAATGGGACTAAAAAAGTTCGAAAATTCCAAAATAGGACTGTCATGTTTTTATTCCCAAAATAGGACTAATTACTGCCAAATTTGGAAAATACTGCCATGTTTGAAGTCTGGTACTGTCAAAACATGACAGTAATTAGTCCTATTTTGGGAATAAAAACATGGAAGTCCTATTTTAGAATTTTCAAACTTTTTTAGTCCCATTTTGGGTAATATCTCTTTCATTTATCCAAATACGGAGAATAATAAACAATACATGGCTCACAAATCGTTTTCAATTCATTATTATTCAAATAATTAGAAAAACTTGTCATGTGATGTACTCCGTATGTGCAATGTTTACTTTTTCATTTAGTATTGTTCAATTGATATGTTGTCATCAACAAATGCATACCTGCTTATTAGTTTACACGTAGTATAATATTGCAATCTTGCGTTTTTTACTGTATAATGACTAAAACCAAACCACCTTCCTATGCTACCTTAGAATCTAGACTTTGTTCCCACACATGGTCGGGGTGGAGAATCGGATATAGGCAGGGGATATATTGAGGTGGATGGTATAAAAAAAATAATAAAAAAAGATTACACAATTTTTGTATCTTAATAATTTAAACAAAATTAAAATTTTAGGTGGTCGGGACTTAATTGGACTTAATTTAAGCTGCTGTTAAAAGCAGTATCTTGTAGCGACATAATCGGAGTTTCACTCAATATAAATACTCTTTATACGATAGTATTTATCATCTTTAACGTGAAATTTATGAGATAATAAGATTTTCCCATCGACAAAATCACTTTGTCAATGACTAAGGGAGTGTTTGCAACTGCTTAAAAAAAGCACTTCTCAACTTTTGGCTTTAAGAAGCACTTACTACCGTATTTACCAAACACTATCAATTTTTACTTTTTCTCGGCTTGCGTGTGAAAAGTGCTTTTCCCTTTTCTATTACACAAAAAGCACTTATTTTACCAAACACTACCAACTTTTACTACTAATCCACTTTTTTTCTTACATCTCCAAAAGTGCTTTTTTTAAGCAGAAGCAGTTGCAAACACTCCCTAATAGTGTTGGAGCACTTGGGTGAGCGATTCTAGCTTTCGAGTGAAAAGAAAAATCCTATATACTCCGTAGAAGAGATGGATGGCCATTGGATGGGTAACCATAAGTCTAATTGGAGCCAATAGCATGTTTTCACGGGTCTGAAATATGGTATAAATAAATTAAAATTGATGAAAAATACGCTAAAAAATTGCTCTTCTGTCCCATAAAATTCTCCCCACATTGACTTTACACACATATTAAACAGGTGAGAGTAAAGTGGAAATGTATGATTCTAGTTGTGTAAAAAAATGTAAAATGAATGTGAGCCACACAAATTGTTCAAAAATGATAAGTGGGAAGACTTTTTGGGACGACCTAAAAAGGAAATTGGAAGAATTTTATGGAACGGAGAGAGTATCAAAAAATTCCTCTGGGAAGAGCCCCAAGCGATCTCAGCTTGACGGCGCTTCCCATCAGGTAGGTTGGAAATGAATTGTCCTCTCTCTGTGTGTGTTTGTGTGTTGTATCTCTCTCCCTCTCCTTTTCTCTGTGTGTGTTTGTGTGTTGTGTCTCTCTCTCCCTCTCCTCTCTCTCTCTCTCTGTGGATCCCCTTGAACGTATGAATAGAAATAGGGGGGATTTGACTTTGCACCCCACTTTTTGAGTGATATTGGACTTTGCATCCCATTATAAAAAAACTTTGATTTTGCACCACATTTGGAATTTTTTTCTTCACAAAATGGTATGTGTTGCGGTGCAAAGTCAAAGTCTTTTGATAATGGGATGCAAAGTCCAATATCACCCAAAAAGTGAGGTGCAAAGTCAAATATAGTGTGTTTCATTTTGAGAAGTATGATGGATATAGAAATTTCACAATGCAAATAAGCACGGGATAATGCTAAAAATTGAAATTAATTCCAATTATTTTTTAATGCTAATGCATTCATATTTAGTAGAAAATATCAATTTACAGTATCCAAGAAAAATCTATAGGAGAAATATGTAGCAATGTGGAGATCGAAGTATGTTTCAAATTTAATTCCAAGTGTGTGGAGCTAGATAAGTTCAACCGAAGCTTAAATATTGTAATAAAATTAGGACTATGATGTAGAGTCTATTTGATAGCTTTTGTTTCTCACTAAGTCTTATCAGCTATCAATTAATCAAACATGCAACTTTTGATTTCGGATTGAATTGTGTAATGTTGAAAATAAATAAGGTGTGAGAGTTTCTTTTCTTGCCGAATTTACTGCAGAAACATGTTTCAGATATTTTGAAGAAATTTTCTTTATTTTTATTAATAAGGTACTTCCTCCGTCCCTATTTAATCTTTTCACTTTCCTTTTTTGAATGTCCCATAAAAAGTCTCATTTTCTTATTTGTTAAACAAAACATATCAAAGTAGTGTCAAACAATATCACTCTCTTAATATGTGTGCAATTTGGAGTGGAAAGATTAAATGGGACAAAGGAAGTATAATATGTAAACATAATTTTTTCATTATTTTGCAGTAAACATTATTACATTTCATCCGCCTCATCTACAATTTCACTTGTTTTATCGGATTTAGGGTCTGTTTGGTAACACGAAAATCGGTTGATTCGGCTTATAATATTGCTCAAATTTACGAAGTTATGGCTGAAATGACTGCATTGGTTGATTATGTTGATATTGATGATTTATGAAGCTGGTCGCCGACTCACTCTCCCTTATGGGAGGTCCTGCGTTCAATTCTCAATGGAGTGAGATGGAGCCCAGTTTACCCCAGTCGCCGCCGCCGCCCCAATCCCCTCCCCTTGACCCCCCAGGGTAGAAAAATATTTTATTAATAAGAAAAATGTAAAATAGCTAAAATGGTCATCTAAAGTAACTTTAGTCTTATTTTTTCTTATCATTACACAATTCAGCACGCGAAAACAAAAATTATGAGTTTAGTGAAAAAGATGACTGATAAGCCGCCGAAAAACAATGATATCAAATGGTCTCTTAGCTTATTCATTCATATTACTAAACTAAATGGGGTCGTAGTCTCTATTTCTCTTATGAATATTGTCCCAAAATCAAACAAGTGAAACAACTCTGATGATTCTAGAAGTCAAGAGTCATGACTATAAAGTCTCTCAAACGGCTTGAGCTTAATATTATGAAGATATCTTTATGACACCCTTCATAACTGGTCGCTTCCACAAACTAATCTGTGTACTACTCTTGTAACTACTTTAGGATTCACAGTTAAGATATATACGAAGTATTATGGAAGTACTTAATCACGAAATCTCTGATAAGCATTGTTCATCATCAATATAAAGTTTCACAACCTTAGCTTTATAAAAAATTATCTCATAGCCTAATTGTCATACATTGATCCAACATTACACTATCACAGCCGAAGCAATGAGTGGCTGTTTGGGGTTTGAACTGTGTCATGAAACTTCAATGTCTGGAGCTATTTTCAAGGAGATAAAATTGCAGATTCAATGATTTATGTACTAAATGCATGCTCCAAACCTGTAAATTATGGGGTCCTTCTAAGCTCTAACAACAAACCAATTAAGTATACCTTACCCTGAACAAGAAAATGTCACAACCGCAGCATAAATGTATGTTGGCAACCAAACACATGCTAAACATCAAAACATGTAACCTAGCTAGCGCAGCTTGGGGTATAGACGCTTTAAGTCATAACTCATAACTACTACGGAGCAAATTAAATGGTGTGTATGAATATAAATATACAAAGGCACCGTTTGGTAATCATTTTTATGTATTTTCAACCTTATCAATCAATCTGTTTTTCAAACTTGATTTTTTTTTTTGGGCACTGAGTTGATCAAAAAAGTAAAATCGAAATTAAGTGTTTGATTGAATTTGTTAGTTCAATAAATTATTTCAATTCAAAGCTCATTCACTAACATTGAAATCAGCTAAATCTATTGAAATTACTGAAACTATGACTCAGACAATTCAATTGTCCGAATATGTAAAAATTGTGACTAAAATATATTTTATTAATAAATTAAAGAAGACCATTATGAAGAAGTAAAATAGTTTGTTGTCATTTTCAGCAAATCCAACAAAAAATAACTCCACCCTAAGTAACTTTAATTATTATACACTTTGGCGTGGAAAATTGTTGGTTGATAAAAAGTTGATTGGTGAGTTAAAAAGGAGTTTACC